CACCGTGGCTCCAACGCTGCAAACACAGCTCAAAGGACTACTGTAAAAGACCTATTTTATATTTAACAATTCATTTTATTGAACAATTATAAGTGTTGAGTTTGTAAATTTTAAGTATACTTTTTTAATTTTAAAATGCGCCACAAAAATACTATTTAATAAGCAGAAATTTGTTTTACAGAGATCAAATATTACAAAACAAAATAATATCAAAACCCTTTACGTCAATGACCAAACTCTTGACTTACCATGTCGGTGACACGAACGTATGAATTTTCCCTCCAGAATTACGTGCCCCTACAAGTTTTCACTTCAAAACTAAGATTTTCTTTGCGTTTTACACTTTATATGTAGATTAAGAGATTAAATGTCGCCATACTTTTAAGCTTTAAAATATATTCATCTATAATACATTTTCATCTTCAATCCATATTGTCTTCGCATACCCTGTGTCAATATTTTCCGCATCGAATATGTTTGCACTGTTTCATATCCTAGCTGTGAGTAGATATCATAACGGCTTTTACGACAGATATCATTATCGCACTGCCGAAATACCGCATAGAAATGAAAACGTTCGAGGACACGTGAATGAATAATACATGAAAATAAATCTTCCCTTAGGCGTCTCTTTTTCGAGTTGAGATTCGCTGTGAGTAAACACTGGTAGTATTCTTTGTGATTACATACATAAAATGATAATAGTTGAAAACTCGGAAACATTAGTGGCATCGTTTATTCGAAAAGAAAAGTAGGAAGGAATATGTTGTAGTCTGTGAGTCGGTAATCATATTTAAGCATATGGCATGGGATAATCGTTTGAAGTCAAATTAACAATGAGTGGAAATGGCATAGCGGCGAAGAGGGCGCAGTCCGGTGCGAAGCGATGCGCCGTGCTCGAGAGCTCGGTTCATTTAAAGGCACTTGACTGTAATTGCAGAGGGACTAAGACTTAGCCCACCCGAACGGCAGGCGCTAGCAGACGGAAAGAACTTTTAATGGTATGCCTTTATCAACCAATGAACATTACTCATGCTTCTGGCCACCCGGCAAAGTTGACCAAAGTTTTGAAATCTTCAAATTACTCTCCTACTTTATAAATGTTTTCTGTAATAAAGGGGCACTTATAGTCCAACATCCAATTAAATGCGACCGCCATGCAACGCGGCCCCATATCGGAGGGCCTTATCCGATTGGACGGAAAGTGGAACGTTTGATTTTTAAAATCTTGGATAGCGATTGCAATTTGGTCGGAAACGCAATAAATAGCACGGGCGGCGCCGCTTGACCCACTTCCTGTTACATGCCGAAACGCCTGCGATTTAATCGCGCCCTACCTCACTCCATCCTTCCGCCAAGACCCCACACGCTTCGCCTCTTACCCCATAATTATTAAATCCATTCCTTGCGAGCAAAGAAAGAGGCACGGCCAAAATAAATCATGGCTCCGAACTTAATGTGTTATACCCTTCTCATGGACATCTTTTTGATAGGAATTTTACTCGAACATTCGCAGAACGAAATACTTGTAATACTCCGTGAAAACGGTTGGTATGGTTGGTTGAACAATATACGGTTGGTATTTGTTGTATTTAAGATGAAATACTTTATTGTTGCGTATTTTAGAATTTTCTATTACGACATCAGTAATCAATGCGAACAAAAAATACTCATTAAAATTAAAGCACTAGCCACAGTCTGAGATTCTAGAAAGGTAACTCATCTGAACCTTCTTTTCATAGCTTATTAAGGTCCAGTATGCGAGTAGAAAGTCGTAGCCGAGCCAAAGAATAAGCAATACACGAGTTGCGTTAAGCGGAAACTTGAAAGGCTTCGCTCCACAACCGGCAACCGTACTCTCCGCGAGGCTTTTTTTCGTTGGACCGTGAGCGAACGGAAGCACATTAAAGCGGACGTCACGCGCCGCGTATAGAAGGTAGAGCTCGACGCCCGGTTTCGTTCGGGCAGCGAGGGCGGCGCGGGCGTCGCGCCGCATCTGATAGGAGGGCGGAAATTGCGCGGCGCGTCGCGTGCGCCCGCCGTGTGCCCCTGACGTGCTACGGCGCTACGCCCGCCCCACTATTTCACTGCGCTCCGCTGCCTCTGCCTCTACGGGATATTTCACACCGCTACGTGCGCCCTGCCGCCTCCGTTTCGCTCTCCGTTCCTGTTTCTAAATAAATGTGCTTTAGTGCTATCCGAAATTACCCCGCTCCCGCTACGGTACCATCTCAGATCCCCGTCCGCATCGTAACGGAAGTCTCATCGTCGTAAGACGTTTTATTTGTTTTTATAAGAAACAAATTTTATCAAGATTCGTCGAAGCGGCGTGAAACACTACTGGAAAATATACTGGATTCACACTTTTGCACATTATTTAACCTTCGCCCAATATCGGTTCTACACGGTCCGTTTCGTCTATGTCACGCTCATAACAAAGAGGTTGGTGAGAAATATTTTTGCGAAACTTTCATGAATATATTAGCCATAAATGTGACTAAAGGAATCTATTCCCGTTGCGAGAGGCGCCGCCGCGCACCCTCTCCTCCGACACGTGAATAGCTACGCGCCACAGCCTACGTATTGCTTGAAGTATTTGAAAATTATTGTGTAAATGAAGAAGTGTACTCTTTATTCTTAATTTATAGTATACATGCATAATGAAATAAAATAATCTGCCAATAACTTTTTCAACATCTCCAACACTATTGCACTTTATACATTTTTTTCATGAGATTTAGAAGAAGAAGAAGAAACGATTATTCACGGTCTAAAAACAAATGAATACATACAAAACTTAAAAATAATAATGTTACTACACAGAAACTTAAAATAAATGTAAACATAACGAAATAACAAACAAAATAATAACAGTAATAAGGTTAAAATAATAAATAATAATAAAAAGGTTCTACAAGGCTCTACACGAGCCTTTCGTAGATACCGTTGCCTCCCTTAACTGGCTACGTTTCGGTGACCTCTTTGGGGAAACCGAAGGTTTTGTCTGTGCGATACAGGATCAGGTTATTAAGACGAACAACTATCGGAGATACATCCTAAGGGATGGCACCGTCGACATCTGTCGAGCTTGTCGCCATCCCGGGGAGTCGCTACGGCATGTTATCTCCGGTTGTTCCATGCTTTCTAACTCTGAGTATCTGCATAGACACAAGCTAGTAGCCAGAATTATACATCAGGAGCTCGCTCTGAAATACGGACTCGTGGAACGGAAACTGCCGTACTACAAGTACTCTCCGGAGGCCGTGCTCGAAAATGACCGCGCAAGGCTCTATTGGGACCGGCCCATCATCACGGACAGGACGATTGTCGCGAACAAACCTGACATCGTGGTGATGAACCGGGCACAGTCGCGGGTATTTTTGGTCGACATTACCATTCCATATGACGAGAACCTCGTGAAAGCCGAAAAAGATAAGAGGACGAAGTATCTGGACCTGGCTCACGAGGTGACCGACATGTGGGGTGGTGTGCCGACCGAAATTATCCCAATAGTCGTGTCTGCGAATGGGTTAATCCCAGTCAGCCTCTCCGAACATCTGAGGCGACTGGGACTCCGGGACGGAACGCTCCAAGCTCAAATGCAGAAGGCGGTGCTCCTCGATACCGCCCGCATCGTCCGCCGGTTTCTCTCCCTCTCACCCTAACCCTCGGCCGTTTGGTCTCCCCTGCCGAGGGCTTCCGTCTGGTTGGGTCCTATTTATTTATGTATTATATATAATATTTATATCTGTATATTTATTTTTATTCATAATATTTATTTTATAGATGCAATATATATTTATGTGTTTATTATTTATCCCCAAACCCAACCAGACGAGAAAACAAATAAATACCCCCACAACAGTAATAACAGTAACAGTTCTTTTAGTATCTCATCACCCACATTTTTATGTAAATAGAATTCGATGTTCGGACAATGTTATGACTAATTTTGTAAAGAACTATTGATTATGCACATTTCATACAAAGTAAAGACTCGGAGATAATAAAATGATGCCTATAACATAATACATTGAACTAACTCGAGCGCCCACATCGCCGCCGCGCCGCCTCGGTTACACGTTGTTTGTCATCTGGAAACGCGGGGATCGCACTCTTTGTGATTTTTCAAGAAATTCCGCACTCGTTCGGTTTCCGAGAGTTAAAAGTTGTCCGAAGCTTTATGTGGGGGGGGGGGGGGGAGGAAAGTGGGGGGTAGGGGTGCGAATCGTACTTTACGAAGTGGATAGGAGACAGGTGCAGCACGAGGCGTTTATAAAAGAATTTAGAAATATTGTCTCATCTCGCGTCCTCTTCTTTCTGTCCAAAGATTTATTTTCTATAGCACTCATACGGTTGCCTTTTAGTTTTGTACAGATTTGTTATGTTTTAATTTTGTACACTTTTTGATATGGTATTGTGATCAATTTAACTATAATTAAAGCTTTTTATAGTCTTATTGCTGGAAAATAAATGCGATCATTCCGTTATTGAGCGCAGCTGGGGATACATTAAACAGGAATTTGTCAATAAAATATGGAACAGTATCAATTTTTTACTCTTTATAATATTCTCGTGAAATAATTTTATTATAACTTGGGAATTTCTTTAACATATTTTTCATTATTCCATTGATACCTTTTTGATAACACCTAACACGTTTATTATTTGAATTTATAGTGATAATATGTAAAAAATTATTAAATTGATTTCCCCATGCCTATTAATTGTATTTTGCGGATTGTTACTTCGCTCAACAGCTCATTAAGTTTTAATCAAATTTGCCTTAACCTAACACAAGTTTAATATTAATATAATGCTAGCACTAAACTGATTATTCCATTATCTCATATATAGTAACTAATATGCTGAGCGATCGCGCTCGCGTTAAATGAACGCGTGAGATATGTGTTACCGAATTAATTTCGAAACGGAGGCTAGCGTATTATAGCGGTATAAGATATGGCCGGGCTATGATTTGCGAAGGGATCGATTAGTTAGCGGGTGCACGGGGGCAGGTCGCGTGCACGAGGGCCATAGCGGGCCGGCGCTGCCTTCCGGCGTAACGCGAAGAATGTTGCCGATAGATTAACTTCTGATCTCTTTTCCGATATCACAGCGGAGCGCTTACGTAGGAATTCTAAACGCCTCGATCTAGATTTAGGACGAGTTCTGCTAGTTGCCTCGCGAATCGGCTGCACTATTCGAAGCCTCCTTACGGCCGGTTTCAATATTCTATATCCCTGTAAATTTGGCTACTGGCGATTGGTATTTGAAATCAACTCCATAATAGGTACTTATGTCAAAATACTATATCCAGTAACTAATTCTACGGATAGATAGAATATACAAACCGGCCTTTAGTAGAGGACCTGGACCGACCGACAAATCATCTACTTGAAAGCGACGTATCTTTATTTGTTTCATTTAAACATTCTTCAAATACAATGGCTAATTGCGGAAGAAAATGTGAATATGCGATTGTGTTCCTTAAAAATAATACAACTGTATATTTTATTCCCTTTTCATCCATCAGTATAATGGAATTATGTAAAATTACGTTAAAGCTATCTATTAAATATTATTTCTAGTTTAAAGTTAGCGTGTATTTGATGACAATAGATTTTTAAAAATTTAAATTTCTAAAAATCGTCTACAAATTTTAATGACAATAGATTTTGTTTTATCTAAGTTTGATGCTGATGACTATTGATTTAGGTTTTCATCCATGGAAAATCTTTACTGTAAAATGCCTTGCCACTTATATATATACATATGAACTTCCCAACGTTTCACTTTGGTGAAAATGAAGTAATCTTCATACAGAGCGCTTTTGTCTTAATAGAAATGACATGGCATTTTTAGGAAGTGGAAGAAAACCATGTGCACAGGAAATGCAAAACAGAATAATTTATTGTGTTTTTTTATAATGTGTTTTTAATGTATAAGGGCCGTAGAATTAACAAAAAGGTACCGAAATAGAAACCTATTTGAGATTCTGATAATAGTAACACATTGAACCAAAAGCTATATGTACCTATTTATCTTTCACCTTGTGGATCGTTCTACGGAATCGAAATACACATTATCCTCGCGTGATTAAATATACAAGATAACATCCTCGTCAAATCGTATTTGTTACTTGATGAGAGCGATGACAAAGCGTTGATTAACATTGACAGGCAGAAGCTTTTTGAGCGATGTAGCGATCCGGTGTACGTGGCTCAGGTAGGGCGAGGGCGCTCTGTGGCCTGTTTGCGTACAAGTGAATTCCATTAGACTCCAGCTCGTGCACAACTGCCGCAGTCTCAACCTCCTTCATTCATATCCCATTAGCTGATCGATTCACGGGTACCTTATTCGTTTATTTATACGACTATCAAATGCCCCCAGATTTGCCCTGATGGATTTATCAACTACTTTAGTATGTATACTCGACCTACACTTACCTGTTACGTAACGCGTTTCTGTTTCTCGTTAATGGTGAACGCATCACAAAGATAGATATCTGTAGATACTATAGTTTTTTATAAAAATGTTAAATGTATACATGTCGAAATGACTGCAACCAACGCATCTGGAAGCCGCAAAGTGAGCGGCGGGCGACTCGTAATAACTCGACACGGAAACACGTTTAACGTCACAAAAATGTACTCCACCATTTACAAGTGTGTTAAACTGTGCACCATGCCAGTGAAACAATAATTAAATTTTCCCTCGGCCCCTGACTACGGAGTGTGTCGTTTCATCAACCTCCGCACTAACTCGCGGGAACGGCGTACCGCCTGAAATATTTAATTCCCACCAGCCATTGTGCCGTAATGTACCGGAAATGAAATCTTGCGACACGACCTATTGCTACTTTTACATTTGCGATCGCGCAAAACGAATTTATTTATGAGACCAAAATTTCTTACATTAACAATTACTTTTTATCATTAGTGTCAAATATTGCAGAACTGAACGTCCAATAATATGCCTACAGCCTACCTAGGATAACAAAACTTTAGAAATAGTCAATACTCGAAAACGTTTAATCAGTGCTGCCGCTGCTTCAGCAAGCTTTATTAAATAAGAGACGCTATAAACAGCTTAAATATGCGCGAGAACGATACTTATCAGCGTACAAGGCTCGGAGTCAAGTTGCGGATGGCAATGATTGGCCCGGCTTCTTCACCGCTACCTTATTTCCATCTTATTACCGGCACTGAAGCGATATTAAAGCAGGCGAAACTCCGCCACCCACGTCTACGCCCTGTCTTTGCGTCGGTGAATTAGGTTAATGGCCTGCCAGGTGATTTCCTTCTGAACCGTATTTCGGCTAAAATGCCGCCGCCTCAGCCAGCACGCCAATGTCACTGGAACAACATAAACGCCTGAACTTTCGTCATTCGTCACGTATATACATGTAAACGTGACCGGGCCTACGTTTCCAACGCCGCATCTGATCCTCTCTCTCGTATATTTCAAAGAGTACGTAATCAGATTTACCATGTGCATATACGTTGAATAATTCAAATTACGTTTTGTTCGCCGTCGCGTATAGAGAATATTGTACGTTTCGTACTTATTTTATGTGATCCGAGGGTACCCGGGGACCTTTGATTTATGATACGGAGTCGCGCCACCGGCGGCTGCCACCGCCTCTGGGGTTTTTGCGACCCTCCGCCCGCACGGAGCGCTCTGTCAAAGCACGTCGGATATAACCAATCATTTTACTGTCTCTATACGCTCAAACCCAAATAACATTATGTAGCGTTATTAAGCCCTTTGTTGAGCGCTATCAAAGATTTTCGCAATTACGAGGAATTCAAGTAATCTTGAACCGCTAAATAACTGATTTAATATTTGCCGGTAACAAGAATAGTAAATTTTGTGTATTTATTATGTGAATATGTGTCGTACACATGTATTTTTGAAAACTAAATCCATAATCTTATTACAAATTGAAAAAGGGAAGCCTTAAATTTATATTCGATCTATTTTGATATTGTGAATTCAATACATGATAGAAATGAAGTATAAAAATTAAAATTTTCTTTATAATGACAATACGAGCATGACCTTTTGTCCCATAACAATCGTCATATGAACTGTGTACTGTTTTTCTTTACGTAGCTCAGTCAAAGGAACGCTCCATTTTACTATATTTATATTTACGGGGATTTGCTTCAAATTATTATACCTTTTTTCTGTTCCCAACCGTTTTATACAAATCATATGAGAGCGGTTTACCAAAGTGGTAAAATATTGGATTTTTTCATGCATGTGCTGTAGTACTATTTCAATCAAATTTAATCAAAGGCTTATTTCTTTTCGTTTAATTATAGGTATGCGAGCAGGCACAAATTAATTCAGCCAATTTTGTCATCATAGAACACGCACAGCGCTTTTAAAGCGAGGACGTAATCCACCCTCTATTAATTATTAAGAATCAGGTGCGGTTACCCTTGAGGATTAAGATATGATGTCTCGTTACCAATAATTGGGGCTCGGGTTCTCATCAATCACCGGAGCACTACGCGTTTCGCATCTGTTTCACGCGCACATTCAGCGAGCGAGTGTTCGACTATCCGGCGGATCCGACCCGATTTCCACTACGTGTGTTAGCTTATGTAAGTAGCTCAACTATAACTATATTTTCCTCCTTATAAGTAGTCCAAATTAAAGAAATTAAACCGGCGTATAAAGTGAATTTAAAAATGAAGTACGCCAATCCACAGTGGATTAGTATAGTACACCAACCTCATTGCGAGTTTAGGGACTTAATGTATCTTCCATATATCTTTTTAATTATTTTTAAATTCAATCCACAACTACAATCCCGTTGGTAATATATAATTCCATTGATGAAATTTAAATTCATCATTTCGATAGAAAAAGTGTAATCAGCATACCGTTAACTTTAATTATCCTTTACGTTGCACACTTTTATGTGATTATGGATTTTAATAAATCTAATACAGATTTTTAAGTAAAATACGATATTAAGACATTGCTTTTCAACTGAATTCCACTTATAGCTATTCCTATTAAAGACGAAATATTAGTACTGATAGGTGTACGGAATATATTCGTACGTTGTATTATTCACTTGAAACTTTATTAATCATACAGCGATATATAACAATTCGGGCTGATGAAGACTGATAAAGAAGTATTACGCTAATCGAATCAGATAAAAAAACATTTACTTTTGCTTAACTTTTCCACCATCTCAAACTCCCACAACCGACTATAAAGAGACAGTATCTGTTTGTTAAGATTTTAAAGTGCAAATTTTTTACTTCTACTTAAATGCTGTTTTTAACAATTGACCGTTCTGTTGCGATAATATCAATTCAGATTCAGGTCTTATAGTCCCTATTAGGTTACTAAGTACCTTTTGAGGTACGGAACCCTAATAATTTTCAATTTTGTTTTTGGATAGGAAAACTCAGAGAATTGCTTCAGTTAGCAAAAGCGGTTAAAAAAAATCATGTACCTTCTTAAAATATTTTTTTTAAATTTTAAAATTAAAAAGACATTAAAATTATTTTTTTTCTTTTAAACAAAAATACACCATTTTAATGAATCATCTAAAAAATTAGGTCCTGTAATAAATACTTGATATACAGCGCATTATAAAAATGTGTTGACATAAATTTCGTTTTAATAAGTGTATAAGAAACTTATGTCTTTACAGTGCAACTAAAAATGAGTTGTTTTGAATTCGTTAATAAGCGCATTATGAATTTGTTTGTGTTGGTTCATACAGCAAATGAAAACAGAATTGCCTGATAAAACACGTAAAAATCTTATTCATCAAGAGACTGAAAAAGCAAATTGGCCTAAAAAAGAAACTCTTTTCCATTAAGGCTTCCTCTTAAACCAGTTCTAAAAAAATCCGTAGTACCGAAAAGTGAAAAGAAACATTAATGAATGGCTTTGAAATCTGACTTCATCACATTTTTGACTCTGTTAATAAAATTATGGACATGTTACATACATAATTATAATATATCATATTAAATACATAATGAAAATATGATGTAGTACAAATGAAACCGTACATATTGTACAATGTAATTGTTCGTATTATATAAAATGTAATATGTAAATTTTGGTTATTTTGGACATTATTTTAAATATATCTAGTAATTATAATGATGAGTACTGTAACTTTAAGTGTATTTAAATTATTGTGATATTATTTATGGTACTTAAAGTTTAAATAATGACGATGTATGTACTTTTATATTAACTTTTATATACTTCTCAACCACATTTACATTTGGTCAGTGTCGATGTTCGTAAACTTACAAAATTAATATGAATTTAAGTCATATTTTTGAGTTCTTTATATTCAGGACAAATATTTACGTACGCGTATTGTTTTGCAAATACTACATGTTAAATAACTAAAAAGACTGGACTAAGAAAATGTGTAAAATTAAAACGCGATAAAATCGGTAAACTAGTTTCATTTAATATGCATAATATTAACGTAAAATCAAGTCAATGTGTAAAATTGTCGCTTAAACCGATTGTACCTAAATATAAACTAAAATATATTTAAATTAAATTTGAATGATTTAACTTTCAGAAATGATATAAGGAATGGCTTAAAAAAATATTTTTGATACAGCTACGAAAAGATTTTAAAACAAATATCGAAAAAAACGACATTAGATAAAGACATAATAACTACAAAAGGAAAGTAGCGTAACGAGGGTTACATTTTTTTATATACAATTTTCCATTACAGTATTTTCATATACTTTTAAATTTTAATTAATATTTTTATTAGATTTTAAACAATACTACTATCTTAACATATTTATATAAAATATCGAGCATGTTATTACACATTTAAACAAATTTTGCGTAATTGAAAAATATTGTAATCTTGCTGCCTTCATTTTCGTAGGAAAGCGAAGCAGATGTTAACTACAGCTGGTTGAAGGGGACCAAATGATACATAATTACAATTTGACCCGAAGTCAACCAGCTAAAGCGAACAACGCTGCCACTTTCGTATTGCAACATCCTTCTCTTCTTTAAGTTGATCTTGGTCTTCCTTTTTCCATTACTTGAGTCTTCGTTTTTCATTTACAAATTTAGCAATACCAACACGGTCTCGGTAAAGTAAATAGCTTGCAACCGTATAAAATTCATAAGATAAGACCTGGACGCGAATAGGATCGCGTTGTTATATTAAGCGGGATACAATTCGGCGTGAGCGTATAGTGGAGCCGATGAGTCCAGGAATAGGCGGCGAGGCGGGCGGCGTGGGGCGCGCGGAGGGCGCACCAGGCCGCCGGGGCTCCACATATAGGGCTGGTCGCGGCGTGCTGCAAGCAGACGCAGTGTAAGCTTACCGGCGCGAGGCGCGGCGGCGCGTGCCGGCGCCGACATTGACGCGCCGCGTGTAACCGTACACGCCGCCTCGCTATTTCGGTCCCGGCCGCTGCACTAATTCGGGCAGGGTTAACGCGGCGGCCTCCCCAATCGCCCGCCGGCCGCGGCACACTTCCGTCTTCGTACTTCACGTAGGCAGTCACTCGGAAATCTCTATGGCCGCTCGTCGTCGCCCGTCGCGACGGGAAGGGAGACGAGAGCACTCGCACAGCTTCGGTCCGGGACCGCCCGGCAATTTCGTAATGTTCCAATCGATCTACTCGATAGGGAGATAAAGAAGGGCCTAACGCGGTGACCTCGACGTCATCGACCTGCCGCGAGCCCCAGACGAGGGGTTCGTTGACATCTAAATTGACCTTGTATTAAATACAAAAATAAATTTACGAGTTTGAGATGCGAAATTCTTTTAAAAATATCAGGGAAATCTCTAAGTTAATATCGCGGGCCTCCGTTCATGTGCGAGGTGACCGACCTCAGGTATGAGACGCGACGACACCTCAGGTCGCTTTACGTCCGCGAATGCATTCCGACCAGCAACGACACGACATCGCGAACCTACTAACCCCGCTCCGGGAGGGGTTCGGTACCCCGCGACCCTCCGAATCTTGCGACCCCTCCCTACCCCCTCCCCCCGCCCCTTCCGGTCCATCCGAAAGCTTCGAAAATTCCCGATCTGTAAACGCGCGATTAGGACGAAACGTCTAAAGAAATGGACGCCGCCGAGCCCCGGTAACTGGTAGCGAATTTCTAGCAAAATGTTTCAGCCCGAGGGCCATAATTAACGATCGGCTACAGAGCTAAGGCTGGAGAGATGGATCGTGGCAGAGCACGCGGGGCGGGCGGGCGGCACTGCGGGCGGCTAGGGCGGGCGGGCCTCGCGTCTCGACTGAGAGACGCGCAGCATCGCGCCGCCGCACCGCGCCGCCCCCGCGCCGCCGCCACCCCGCGCCCCCCGCACCCGCCGCGCCCTCCCGTTGCCTCGCAGCCCGCCCCGCCCCGCGCCGCCCCGCGTCGCGCCGCACTGTCTACGCCGCCTGCAACCTCAGCGGCCGCGCTACTCACCAACCCCACACATACGCGAAATAAAGTTGGCTTTACCCGTCAAATGGCCTCCGCTTCTACTACCAATTTATATCCGAGCATTAACCTATTTCGAACTGCGATACGTGTGAGCTTTTTAAACTTTACAAGTCTATTCAACAACACGCATTTGTATGAACTACCTCTGAATGGAGCAAGAGATATTATCGTAGTCCGAATATGAAACTCTCCACCATATTATATAAAAAAAGTAAAAACACTATTAGTATTTTCCATACTAATATGTTTTAAAAAGAATCAATGTAGTTACAACAAAACAAAGCATTTATACTGTTCATTTGCTACTATGTACAAACGTATGGACCAATCTATACTAATGATAAAATTGGCGTGCTACTGGTCTGTGATTTTAAAATCAATGACAAGGAATATTCATATTTTTACAATACGTAATCATAATTATAGAAGATATGGCTTCGAAACAGATCAACATATTGTAATGAAAATTTTAAAGTTTGAAATGTAAATTTAAACTTAACATATGTATGTAAAATTTTAATATCCAGCTGAGATAAGATGGAGCCGCGAACGTAGACTCATTATAATTTCCATGCCATAAGAGATTAAGCTTAAACTGATATGTGCAAAACGGAAACCGTGAATCCATTAGGCTCCAAATAGCAATTTACGTTTTTTCGTGAAAGTAAGTCTTAAACAAATCACTATGCCAAAAGTTAAAACCACCCCAAAATTAAATTCATTTTTTTGTTGACATACGAAGGATAATTTAAAAATATTAAAATAAAGTATATAAAGGAGGATCATCAAAAAATTAAAATAACATATTAATTAAAAATATTTTTTTTTACTCAAAATACACAATTTTTTTAACAATTTACAAAAACGTGTCTAAAACAATATATTCTCTTTATTTTATTTATCTTCGATTGGCTGAAAATCATGTAAGTAGAGATGTTCGGTAGTTGAAATGTCATTGATTTAATTTCTGTACCTCTTAAGTTGGAAAAAAAGCTTTACCAAAAAACAAATAGCATTAATTTGATAGCTGCAACGTCTGCTTGCTGTTATATTACAATATTTATACAAATATTAATTAAAAGGAATAGCAAGTAACTAACTGGCCCGCGAAACTTCGTCTGCGCCAAATCCCGGTAGATTTGGTGGTCCATTCGTTTCGACTTTTAACAAAGCGCGACCTATTGGATACCTACTCAATTCAGCCGATAAATTTATCTTACACAGCCGTCTGTTAAATTTTTTTGAAACTCACAGATAACTAACTCTTTGTCATCTAATAAACAAATAATTTGCAATAAAATATTATTGCGACTACAAATTGAGATGTAAGGTCTTCCAAGTTGGATCAAACTGCACACGGTGTGTGCAAATTTGATTAAAATCGGCTTAGTAGTTTTAAGAGTCCAGCGCGGACAACAACGTGACACGTAATTAATATATATTAAGATCAAAGTTTGAAGTGAAGTGAAATTTTGATTAAGCTTGAAGCTAAAACGAGAAAAGGATGGTAAAATGTTTTCGATTGTATAATTTTCACCCCTGTTCGCTATGATCACTATCATTACTCATGGACGTCTGTCTAAACGCAGAAGCGGGGAATTAGAATCTGTTTAAATCACGTGATCACAATATTTCATGTCTCTAGGCTTTTTGTTTATGAAATCGATAAAATCGATAACTTAAACATTATTTGCAAACTGCCGAAGCTTTCATACTAATACGTATTATTTATATTATTTGGGTTCTTACCGGCTTATTTACTTATTATCTACTTATTACCGGCTTAGTGAATTTGACAAGAAATAGTCATGCCATTGTCATTTAGTACCTAGGTACTATCAAACCTGATGGTACGCCTAACCCGTTTGTTACTCAATCTTAGCACTTACTATTTTTTTATGTGAGAAGGTGACAACCGCACTGGCTGTTCACCTTATGATAAGTGATATCCGCCGCCTGTGGACTTTGCAACACCCGTAGAGTTATAGATGCGTTACCTTTTAATAGAGTGGCCCCGGTGACCTCACTCACCAGACGAAACGCAGAAGTATACCACTTCCACATCGTGAAAGTCTTCTGGAGGTCGTGGTACTTCCCCGGATGGACCTGCCCATTTGTGAAACAGTAAACGGTTGCGTGTTGCGGACCTACCATGCTTTATATTGAAATTAGTATGCAAATGACGAAGTTTAAATTTACTTCTAACCCTACATGCAATTTTATATAGACTAACCATTTGGAAAGAAAAAGCATAACGTGTGTATGGTTTCAATTACATATGACAGTTTCTTGTACAAACAACACTTACGGCGAATATACATCTACATACCTGGCTAAATTGAGGATAAATGACAGCTCAATCTGCGAATGTGGTCTTGAAGAAGGTTCCACTAATCATATATTTTTAATTGTCCAAAGCAAATTCCCTTTAAGATTATATTCCTTATAACATTCCTCGTCCTGTAAATGTGTCTTATTTGTTAACCTTGGTTTTCACTCCGTTTATAAATCTTGTGTAACTTAATAAGTATTAATAATATAAGTCTGTACACTAACTTTGGTAATGGGATAATAAATGTCTTTTTTAAGCTATTGCATAGGGCTTTGAACGCGGCGACCGAATCAAGAAATTCTGTAACGAAAATAAAACCTAACACCACCCACCCCGCCTACCATATAAGAGGAAAGATTTGATTGTTTGTATGCATAGAATAGGCTCCGAAACTACTGAACCGATTTCAAAATTTCTTTCACTGTTGGGAAGCTACATTATCCCCGGATAACATAGACAATATTATATTTAAAAAAAACAACTAGGGATCCTTACTAAAACTTCAATAATGTAACCCAGTGTACAAATATTACCTAAAATATTCGTAACATCGAGTGCGTTTCGAAAACTATTGATGCTAGAATAAAATAATGTATTACGAATTTGCAGAACACATCATCATTTACAAAAAGTGTCGCGACACTTTATGTTTAACTATTATAAATATGCCACAATAAGTGTTCTTTAAATTTAAAAATTTGATTGAAATTTCGTCTCTAGAAAAGGCTCTTTATTTGTATATTTATAAAATAAATTACTTCATATTTAAGACAGTTTCAATATCTTTATATAACTTTTTGAATGATTAAATTCCGACATTCCATTCGAAAGATATCACAAGTTTAAAAATGTTAGTATATCCAAAAGCTTAGTGACTGACTTAGCAGTTCTTATCATTTTTGTAAATAATATAAATAAATTAAATATAATTAATTATAATAGATATTAATAATTAAATTATTATTATTTATTAATATAAATATCAAAGAAAAAAAATTCTGCATAAATTAAAAATAAATAATTATAATTGCATAAGTTGATAAAAGATGCTATGCAATAGCTTTACCGCGGCAGTCCCCGAGTGCCACGGGTTTTTTTGTAATTTATTAATAAGTGTGACTCCCATGACTGACATGACATACGCAGAGTTCTTTTAAGAGTCTCTTCAGTATCTTCTTTATATATATATATATATATATAATTCTTCTGTACGTATGTATGTCACTGAACACCTAAACGGTTGGACCGATTTTAATGAACTGTTTTGTGTGACTTCAGGTTGATTCGAGAATGGTTTAGATTAACATTTTGGTTCACTACCTTTTTTGTTTATTTATAAGTTGTTGTCGGATTTAAATCGTGTATACAAGACAACATCTATCGGGTCCGCTAGAATACTATATATTAAAAAAATATATTTTATCACCTTTAAATTGCAAAGAAATTTTAATAGTTTGCGATGATTCCATTGATAAGGACCTTCCAAGCCACAGATGCCGAAAAGAAGGACTTCAGAATGCATTGCAAATACTAAATTCATGATGTATAATAATAAATAATACACAAATTCTTGACAATTGCTTTAAATAACTTAATACATTCTGTAAAAGATTTCTACAAGTCAATTTAGATTCACAAAAAAGTTATTAAATTACAAATTCTTTTTTGTTTTAAAAAGTGCGTAATGAGAATGAGAAAACAGCCTAACAAGTTTATTTCTGTTCCTTGGCCGGGGTTCGCCGGAAACGCTACTGAATTAAGTGCTTTAAGCTGAATAAATGATGTTAGCTTTCAAGGTGGAGCTACTTACCCTACCGCATTCACGGAGCGGCGCGTGTACAATTTCATTAGAACATTACTCATTTGAATCGGTGACGATCTAATTTTTTTTCTAAGAAACACCGAATGTTCATGCAAATTGTGCTCCGACGCTACGTCAGCGCTTGCGGCACACACAAATACGATCAGGTCCGATATTCCATCACCGTTCCCGTGATTATTCCAACGCGAACGCAATTAGAGAGGAGTGGCGAGCCGCCTCCTGTTTGTTTTAATTACGACGAAATAACGCGGAGCGCTGCCCGCGACGCCTCCGCCCGGTCCGCTTTTATTGCAAATTGCAAAGCCCTATTTATGATTGAAAGAAAAACAAACGGATCCTTTATTGAAAGCGAAATCCTCTCGCTCCGACGCGTTGTCGCGAGCTTCGCCCTAAAGCGTGGCAGGTTATAATTTTGTGCCAGGCCACGCTTACTCTCGAATATTTTAGGTCTTTAAAAGGCATTGCAGTATTTTAAACATTGTCAAGAATTAACTTCAGTTTAACTACTATTATATTCATATATTTATTATAGATCTAATATTTACAAGATTAAATCTATTTAAAATTACATATTATCTAATAAACCTAATCCACGCGGCATGGTGCCAAGAACGCTAGCTGCATTTCCTCGCTGAATAGTTATGCTTAACCTTTGCGCGAGAAAAGAACCAGCTCTCTTGTCACCAGCCGCGGCGTTAAGCCTAGGACATAAACTTTTAAAAAAATTTGATGTGCGGGGACCCCACGGACCTAATGTTTCAACAGCAAATGGCACAAATACATAATCTGAACATAAAGACTCATATTTGCGCCATTTACTTACTTCAGCTGCCTCCGATGCCGCCCCGGCCCTGACCCTATTATTGAACTAAGAATTAACTACTATTGAACTTGACAGAACTTAACTAACATTGGTTCAGATAGAAATTGAGTCTATTTAAAAAGATACATTTAAGACATTGTCTATTGTCACTTTGTGTATTTCCTGAATACTTTCTACTCTTGATATACTTGAGGCTACAAATTT